CATATTAATTCTCTAATAATAACATAGATATTCATCACGCAGGCCTTATTAGTTTTACACTCAAATCTGTTCATATTAGTTACCTGATTTACATAATTAGTTTTCAGCTTTTCCATCAATATCTTAAATACAAGTAATTTGTAATTAATTTTTAATGTGTCTTCAATACTCTCAGCACACGGGAGCTCTTTCTAAGCTTTCTTTGATTTAAGTTTAATCGGGCGAGGGTCATATACAAATTTTCACATAATCAAAGTTGATAACAATCTGTGAACGTTGTCATACGAAGTAAGTTATTATGACACATTCTTTCATTCAATTTTTAGACATTATTATATCTAAAACCGGAAATATAAAAATGTGTATCTTCTCCAGCCGACCATCTTTCATTCGGATATATCACTATGAGCACGGAAGGTCATGAACCTTCTATGCTGCGAGTGATTTACAACCAGCGTGTTTGCAGACAAAGCTTGTAATGCGCATGTGTATGTGTATTGAGTACAAGGTTAATTTATCCAAGTGCATCCTATTCTTTAAAATACTGCAGACTATGGCGTAATCTGATACACATCTATATAAAATGAACTTATGAACCACCCTGTGTAGGCATAACGAACGTCATATTACAAGCATGCCTTGCTAGAAGCTATATTGATCTAGCGGTTACAGTTTGGAAGCAAATTGACAGACAAGGCTGGCACATCGTCGGGTCGTTTAAGCCATCGAAGTTCAATATTTATTTGTCTGCGTCTGAATCATCGCAGACAGACCCATGCACCTGAGTCAATGAAGATATGTGAATAACCCATGCTACAACTATAGTCAACAATGACCACTGAAGGAGGAATTCAGCTAAAAGTAGGTCGATCGTTGACTGTCATGTCCTTGGTATATGTATAACATGCTATATGACAATATATAAAGGTCATAGCAATGTTGCATAATCAAAGGGCGGTGATCGTTGCGTCGCATTCGATGAGTGCTATTCCGGATTGGTGAGACATAGTCAGCTGACGAGCAAGTCATAGTAAAAAAAAAAAAAACATATATAATTCGATGTATATTCAATGTAATTTTTAGATTTGAGCCTTTTATTCAAGCTACAAATCTATGTGTTAATTTATATGTATTCATTGTGTATGATCTCGATAGGTCCATGACTAAAACAATGACAGAGCAAGTTTGTCGGGTGTATTGAACATGCCTTTTTATGTACTGATATTTTTTTTATTTTTTTTTTTATTTATTCAATACAAAGTTCAACAGGCAAACCCATTAACAGACGGAACTGGAAAAAATAAGACCAAGAATAGTTCTCCTATTAGATAAAAAGGAATGTTATATTATATATATTAAGTTATTTTTCTAACAAAATGCAAACATGTCAGTTGATCAGTTGAAGCATTTATGAGACACAAATGTTCCTAATTGTGGCGATTTGTGCCGAATATCTAAGATGGCGTACAAACTATGTGACTGATCAACACTATTTTATTTTTATTTTTTCAAAATTAACTTTAGAAATTCATGCAAAATATCAAATTGATTGATTAAAATGCTCAAGAAAAACAAATGACATCCAAACCACGTTTCTGATCAAAATTATTTTATTTTTCTCGTAGGTAGCTTTGTTATATACAAAATATCAAATTGACTAGTTGAAGCATTAACCTTACGACAGGCATTTGGACCAAATTTCAATTTGCGCAAATTGTACGAAATACGTAATGAACATTAAAATGTCAACGTTTTTTCAACTCTAGCAATCGTTTTGGCTTCGAATTTTCTTTGCTATTAAAGAATTGTGATAATGGGAATACATATGATATCTCATACCAGAGAGACTTTGAACTCGTCTTAGGTTTCATCACTTTCCTCTGTTTATGGTATGTGTATGTCGACCCATTGCTGGTATATTACTGGTATATGATCAATATAATTGTTTCTGGCAATGGCAGCTCCTATGTCTAGTACGTGTATGACCACATTATTACGTATATACTGAGTAGTCTATACTTTGCATCGCATGGCGACAAATGGTTATATCTGTTGTTGTTCTAGTGTTCAATAGTACTCATACATACTTCATTCTAATGACATAATAACTTTAAATTGTGATCGGGTTCCAGATTTTCTATATATATATTGATCATATCTGGGCTCGGTGATTAACTGAGTTTTGAAAACAGTGACGTACGTCTTTTAATGGTTATGTAAATTATTAATGTACTATCCTCTTATTAAAGTCACATTCTCTCATTGTGCTGTATGCAGATCGCCTCCCACTATTGCACTCATCGCGAGAAATTATGAAAATTTGTTGGCATGGAAACAAATCCAGAAATAATGGAGCACTGAACGTAGCCTATACTGAAAGTCGCGTGTCTTATTATCAAATCAAACATAATTTCCAATGTTTTAATCAATGAAGGCCACTTTTTGAGCTACTTTTATTTGATTTAACTTTTCAATTCGATTCATAATGATTGCATTAGATAAGAATTCACAC